GCTCCCCTGCCAGCCTGATTGCCCCTAACTGCTCCCCTGTCAGCCTGATCGCCCTTAATCACCTCTGCCTCAGGCCCTGCCACCATGGCTTTGTCCCGAAGGAGGACTGGACCACCGGAAGATGTCTGGTCCACCCAGTCTAATTAACATATTACCCTTTGATTAGTATAGATACTCCCATAAAATAGAATGGCTGAAGCAAGGACCACTTAGGCTATGTTGTTCGCCACAGTGCCCTTCAGGAAGTCTGGACCCGTCTCTCCTCCCACCACCATCTCCTGAGCCCTACGCCGCCTGGGCACCTGATGAATGTGCCCTTTCCAGCCTCTATTCTTTGGCACACATCACAGCACCAGACACCTGCTGTTCTCAGCTCACTTGTTCCTTCTTCAGAGGATCCCCTCCCCGTGGACTGTGGGGTGCCCCCCTGTTCCCCTTATAGCCCTTGGTTTCTGTAACGCATGTCTCCATGGAATGAAATCATGATTTGTAGTGTTTGGCGCTGAGCCCGAGTGGGTCTGGTTCGCTGTTACGTCCTGGCGGCCAGCACGGCACGTTACAATGGTCAGAGGTAAGGGCTCCTAAAGGACCCAGATCTGCCGTGGCTCAGCCGCTTTGTTCACGAGTCTTCACTTACTCACCTGAGCGAGCACGCTACCCGCCTGGCACCGTGATGGTGGCGTTTGAATGAGATACGGCGTGAGGAGGGCGCAGCACGCAGTTTCACACACGGCGTGGGTGCCTGGGGTGTGGCTCGTGGGTGCTTGCGGGCGCCTCTCTGTGCTGGGCCCGGTTCTGCGTGCTTTATGTCAAAATGACATGAAATGGAATTTCAGTGTCCATAAAGTTTTATTGGAACACAGCTTGCCCTTTCGTTACACAGTTTGTGGTGGCTTTTATTGTTCCGTGGCGGGGGTGAGTAACCGGGACCGAGATGGTGTAACCCGCAACGCCCAGAATATTTACGATGTACCCCCGCGGAAAGAGGTTGCTGGCTCGGCTTACAGTATGAGCTCATCCAATGTTGCATAATGCCGCTGTCATGTCACCATCCCCCTTGTACACGGGAGGAACAGAGGTACAGAGAGGTTAGGAAATGGGCCTGAAGTCACACCCGGCCTGGAGGTGGTAAAGATGGGGTTTGGTTCCCAGAGCTGGGCTCTCCCTGGTTCCACCCTAGCGCAGGTTACTGGTGTTTGCAGGTGAGGGACACGAGGCATGAAGAGGTCCAGCCGGCCCTAGCCGGTTTGGCTCGGTGGATAGAATGTCGTTGGCCTGTGGAACTAAGGGTCCCGGGTTCGATTCCGGTCAAGGCCAGCCCCTGGTCAGGCTTTGTGCAGGAGGCAACCAATCGATGTATTTCTCTCACATCGATGTTTCTCTCTTGTCTTTTCCTCTCTGTTCCACTCTCCCTAAAAATCAATGGAAAAATATCCTCGGGTGAGAATTAACAAACAAACAAACAAAAAAAAAGAGGTGAAGTTGTGCATGTGTGAATGGCAGCATCAGGATTTAGGGCCAGTGCAGGGACCTCCGAGTTCTCGGCCCTCCTGTCACCCCGGGCTCTTTCTACCCCTCCAGGCTCCTAGTATCACCTGCTAACCACAGGACCAGACACACAGAGGCATCCAACATGCCCTTAAAAATGCAGGCGCCCGAAACCAGGGAAATATGATGACAACACTAGATATGGCTGTGGGCTTTCTCCTACATACCAGCTTCGTAAGAAACCTCCGAGTTCTCGGCCCTCCTGTCACCCCGGGCTCTTTCTACCCCTCCAGGCTCCTAGTATCACCTGCTAACCACAGGACCAGACACACAGAGGCATCCAACATGCCCTTAAAAATGCAGGCGCCCGAAACCAGGGAAATATGATGACAACACTAGATATGGCTGTGGGCTTTCTCCTACATACCAGCTTCGTAAATGTTTGTGGAAGGAAGGAATGGATCTGGTGAACGGCTCCTGAACTCTTAGGAGTTTCGACGCTGGAGGCAGGACAGGGACCTGGGGGAAAAGCAGCAGCAAAACCATGACCTGGTCATGGGAAGGAGACCTTGCTGGGCACCAGCTATGTTCCTCAGGGGGTGAGGGGGGAGGTCTCACAACGCCACACACCCTGCCGTTAAAATTCCACTGCGGGGAAACTGTTTTCTGGGCATCGCAACGGGCTCTACTTTTGTGGATTCCAAATGGTTGGTTTCTTTAAATAGCTTTGTTGAGATTTCATTTACATACCGTGCAATTTCCCAATCTTAGAACATTTTCACCACCTCAAAAAATAAATAAAAGCCTGTAACCTTTAGCTGTTGCCTCCACAACCCCCTCCCAGGCTTAAGCACCTGTAATCTGCTTTATGCATTTGCCTATTCTGGACATTCTGTATAAAGGGAATCCTACGCTATGTGGTCTTTCCTGACCAGCTTCTTTCACTTAGCGTGATGTTTGCAAGGTTCATTCACGACGTCTCAGCATCTGTACTTCCCAGGTACCATTCCTTTCTGTGCCTGAGTAATGCTCCCTTGTAGGACTGAAGGCCACATTTTATTTGCTCATTTGCCAGGTGATGGGCATCGCGCTGTTTTTATTTGGGGGGGTCATTATGCATAATGCCGCTCTGAGAGTTTACGTACAAGATTTTGAGTGGACGTGTGTTTTCATTTTCCTCGCGTATAGATGCCCGAGTGGAATTGCTGAGTCATGTGGTAACTCGGTGTGTAACTTTTTGAGGACCTGCCAGGCTGTTTCCCAAGGCGTCTGCACTGTTTTTCATTCCCACTAGGAACTGCCTGTTCCTGCTCATAATTCACACTCCTCCTTATTTTCTTAAATATGTTTTATTGATTTTTAGAGAGAGAGGAAGGGAGAGGGGTAGAGAGATAGAAACATCGATGAGAGAGGAACATCATTGAGCGGCTGCCTCCTGCACAGCCCCTACTGGGAATCGAGCAGGCAACCCGGGCGTATGCCATGACTGGGAATTGAACCAGTGGTTCCTGGGTCGACACTCAACCGCTGAGTCACACCAACCAGGCCATACTCCTCTTTAAACACAACGTGATTCCATTTATAAATGTTTAGAGAACGCCGAATTAATCCTTGGTGCTAGGTTGCCTCTGGAAGGAGGGCAGAGACGATGGGGGGAAGGACATGTCTGGGTGAGAGGAATGCTTTCTGTGTCTTGGTGGTTTCGTGTTTTGGGTCTATGCACTTGTCAAAACTCATCCAACTGTTCACTTAAGATCTGGATGTTTCACCATGTGTTGATGATGTCTACATGAAACAAAATACAAATTAAAAAAAAAAAACATAGATGGAGGGGGAAAAAGGAAAAACTATGCATTATCTTATGACATGACTTATCTTACCCACCTTTCCCTGGTCAGAGGGCCTGTGCCTGGCAGGCAAGGCCAAGTGTAAAAGTCTTTTAATTGATGTGATTAACTACATCTCAACAGGGAGCCTTGTTAACGCCAAGGGGGAGGCAAAGGAGGTTATTTTTCACTCCCAACCAGGGGATGTCTGGGAGGGGGCGGGCCTGGGCACTTAGAGGGCCAGTCCCTGCAGTGGGGGAGGGGGACGTGGAAGGTCTGATTCGGGGCCTTTCTGCAGAGAAGAGCTGCTTTTTCCTTTGGCATTAAGATACATTTTAAAAAAAATCATTTTCTCAGTTGCTACAAAACGTATTGTCCAAAGCCAGCCTGACATTTTTGTTGTTGTTGCAAGACTGCCTCATCCACCAGAACCCAGCATTTAGACAGAACACTAACTCTTCCTAAATGTATTAGTGGCTGCTGAGCAGAGGACAACAGGATACAAACAAAAAAGAAGTGAAGGGTGTGGCCTCTCCCCCTTAGAATCTGAAAACAAATTTCATGGTTTGACATAAATTCACAGAAGATTAGGATTGGGCAAGCGTCATTAACTGCCCACGCACAAACATCAATATTATAACATTTTTGATACATTGCACAAATTGCATCATCTCATAGGCTAGGAAAAAGCATGTAGTATTTCGCTAGAAAAAAAACACATGGGGTCTGTGCGACACAGTTATTTGGGGCAAGATGTGACGCCATGTGTGTTTTTGTTTTCCTTATTGCTCGTCTGTGATTTCTGATTTCCGATGACCATTTGTTGCTTGTGAATTAAATTAGTTGCTAAAAAAAAGTATTTTGCTGCCCTGGCTGGTGTGGCCCAGTTGGGTGGGCATTGTACCGTGCACCAAAAAGTTGCCAGTTCGATTCCTGGTCAAGGGCACATGCCCAAGTTTTGGGCTGTACCCCGTGTGGCTGATAGATGTCTCTCTCTCTCTCTCTCTCTCTCTCTCTCAAAATCAATAAAAATATATTTTGAAAAATTGCTTTGGTTCTCTCACTGGTTGGAGATACCGTAGGCTCCCCTCTCTCCAGAGCAGACCCCCTCCCCTCTGCCACCCCCTCAGCTTGTGAAGTTAAGGCGGCTCTGCATAATGCATTGACCCTGAACTTCGGGGTTAGCTAGGTCGGGGTTTGATCCTAGCAGCTTAAGGAAGTCACGGATCCTTTTTTTGCATCTTAATTTCCTCATCAGAAGGCTGGATCTGATAATACTCTCAGGGGTGAATTGGTGTGGAATATACACTGGAAAACAGCACAAAACTGGGCCCTTCTTATCCGTTCCTCCTTTTCCAACCCACTTTGAGCCCAGGAACTTGCTGGCACCTGCTAGCACTCCACATGACCGTCCGGAGGACTTCCGGTAGCCAGGCTGCCTCCCTGAACCATGGCGGGAGCTGGAGTGCACCTGCACGCCATGTTTGGTGTGTGTGTCTGTGTGCACACGCACTCAAGCCCATGTGCAAGGCTTTGGTGTGTGTGGCTCGACGTTAAACAAAACCCCCCTCCTGTGGGTGAGTTAAGACTGCTCGCTGCTGGGGCCAGTTATCTATCCCAGACCAAGGGTAGGACGAATTGCAGCCAACATCTGGCTGACAGCGTTCTTTATATTCTCCCCTGTAGCACGGTCCCCGGCTGCGGCGTGTCTTCAAACAGCCCGCCCATCACTTTGGGACCCTTCTCCTCCTGCAAACCTGAAGGATTGAATGCCACCCCAGGCTGAACGTGAGTATTGTGGTGGGCTTTGTTTGTTTGTTTGTTTGTTTTCCAGGTGTGGGGGAGGGCCCAGTGGAGGACGAATCAGGGTTTTGCTGTCTGTTTACCCTGGTGGAGTGTGAGGGATGCAACACAGGAGCCATGTTGTGGCCTCTGGTTTCACCTTCTCCCTTCAGCATTGCCTCCCTGTTCTCGGCTTCTTTTTCGGGCAGTGGTTTTCAGACTTCAGTTTGCAAATGATCACCTGGGAAGCTTGCTACAGTGCAGACTCCTGAGCTCCCCTCCCCACTGCTGTCCTAACCCGCAGGCTCTGGGTGGGGTCTAGAAGTGGCATTTTCGACAGACAGCTCTGATAGGTCCATTTGACCAGGAGGCGGTAGAAGCAGGTGCCCGGGACCTGTCAGGACTTCACAAACAAGTTTGAAAACAGATACAGTGATTAGTTTCAAAATGGGAAAACAACGCTAAGAAATTGAAACAGTGATACATAGTTATATAACTTTCGAGCAGCTTGTCAGCTGCAGCTCGGCTTTTGCAAACAGGAATTGTTTTTAAGGCAGCCTCTGGATAGGTTTAGCATATTTGATAGGCTGTATGCCAGGGCTGCAAAAACCTGGAGAAAGCCCTAACACCATCGACCCAGCTCTGAAAAATAAAACCCTCGATTATTTATTTTAAAGACATGTTTTTATTGATTTTAGAGAGAGAGGAAAGGAGAGGGAGAGAGAAAAAGAAACATTGATGTGCAAGAGAAACATCGATTGGCTGCCTCTTGCACACACCCCAACCGGGGATCGAACCTGCAACCTGGGCATGTGCACTCAGACCACATAGCGCCCACACCCAAGCCATCTTGGACCGACTGGTTTCGTTATCTGTCACTTCATTCCTCCATGGTTATCTAACATTCCTCAGGTGGTAATCTGGACTCCCTACCTGGGGTCTTTCCCTAAAGAATGGCCTGGCTGTCGCAATGCCTCCCTGCAGTCTTGGTGATCACAGGCACCTGAGCAATCCGTCCGTGAAGAATGGGTTGGGTGGGTGGTCCGGGCTGGGGAGTGGAAGGGGAGAACCAGAGCAGAGTCCCCCGCGGACCTCTCCCCGCCTTCCTCGTCCAGTCCATTCGTTGTCAGAATGTGGCGGGAGCCTGGCCCCGGCGCCGTGGCCAGTGGCTGCAGGAATTGGTCTTTTGGAAAGACTACTTATCAGGAGCCATCAAGGCGTCCCTTTGACCTTGTAACCCTCCTGGAGGAATGAGAAGGCGGGGCCGGGGGGAGAGGTGTGTGCAGGGAGGGGTGTTTTGGAGCTGGGCGCATTTAGGGGCGCATCCCAAACAAAATGCCACCAGAGGCACCTGATGCTTCTGCTCCCCCGAGTCTTTCCCACGATGGAGAGGGGTTAGCCGCCTTCAGGAGAGCAGTGGCAGTTTGTGGTGTCCCAGTCACAGTTGCACACAGCTTTGTGTCCTGCTGGGGATTCTGGAAAGTGCGGAAGAGAGCTGTGCTCTTTGTTGGAAAAATGAAGATGTGGGTGCCTACTTGGGGGTCCTAGGAGTATGACAGTTGCTTTTTCTCTTCTGTCTTCATCTCTTACCGTTTTGGTAACCTGCCTTATCCAGTTATAAAAATGGCTTATTGCAACAGAAGAAAAGAAAAATGTATATATGGATTTGTAGGGACCCCTGTGTCCCCAAGAGGGGCACCCCATAGGGGCAGCCTGACATCCCCACCGCTCCCTCAGGCTGTGCGCAGGTCGTGACAGGTGCTCTGGTTGGGGGGCGGGGGGACACACTGCTCCCCAGTATGATGGCTCCGTGTGCCTCACCCACTGAGACGAGCTGCTGAGCCCCCAGCACAGCGCCTGGTACACGCACGGCTCCCTGAAGGACGCGCCCTCTTTCTCCAAGTCTATGACACAGTGCCACCACCGGGCCTTTTGTCCTTCTCCTATCCCGTCTCATTTAAAGCCCATCGTAATGGTCCCAAAGGGACCATTGTCATGTCATAATCCCCATTTTACAGATGGGAAAGCTGAGTCCTTAGTTGCCATTCACAAAGCCTCTGCTGAGTCCCAAACTCGGGCTCTCGGCATAAATCTCCATGGAAGCCCACAGGACACCTTAGGGCCGCTCTTCATATCTGCTTCCCACTGTGGGGAAACGGAGGCTCTGTCAGATTATTCCCCAAAGGACCCGCAGCCAGAAAGAATCACGGGCACATTTATCCCTGGGTTTTCTGCCTCCACGTCTGGTTGAGTTTTTTCTGTTGAGCTATGTTGTGCAAGCCTTCTCCATGGAAGGCACGTTATTGTTGGTCTGTTAGGATCCTGCTCCTTCTTCTTTTTCTGGCTGACTCCTGCCCGTCCCCTTTGCTCCCGGTAGGCATCCGCCCTGGTGGGTTTGCTGTAGGCCCTGTGTGTACGCTTCCTCCTGTGTTGTTCTGATAGGGTGTCTGTTTTGAATTTGGACAGATGGGATTCGGCTACAGATCTCTCTCTGGTTTCTCTCTCAGTTTTGTCTTTTTACTCAGCACAGCCCTCCTTTGGTGACTGCAGAAGACTGGTTCCGGGATCCCCTGGGGATCCCCCGATCCACAGATGCTCAAGTCCCCTATGGAAAGGGGTACAGTACTTGTATATAACCTACCCGCATCCTGCCATGTCCTTTAAAGCATCTTTAGATTATTTCTAATTCCTAATGCAATGTAAATACTGTGTAAAGTTGTTATACTGCATTGTTCAAGGAAACGTGTCAAGAAAAGAAAGCGTGCACATGTTCAGTCCCGCCGTGACCATCATAGGTCTAACTATAGAGTACACGTCAGCAATCACATAACTCCCCCCCCGCGCCCCCATACTGTTGATCCATGGATGGTTGAATCCACGGATTCGGTGCCTGTGGATACAGAGGGCCGGCTGTTCCATCTTTGTAGATCCCACCTGGTTGCTCTGTGTACACCTAGCTCATACGGGGCTGCCTCTCCCCTCCCCTTGCCGTAGGTCCTGCCATTGGCTGGTCTCGGCCCTGCTGATGAGCCCAGCCGTGGCCTGTGACAGGCAGTGCACACCTGTAGTCGCGTGGACTGTGGGAGAGTCAGAGAAACTAGCCGAGGTGGATGAGTCATCGTGCGTTCACAAGTGCTGCCCGATCGTTTTCCAGAATGACTGTGCCGCTTGCCGGGCCACCGGTGTGCTCCGAGTTCCGGTTTCCCCACGTCCTCCCGGCACCTGGCGCTGTCAGAGGGGGCAGGAAGGATGCGTTTGTAAGCTCAGGCGCATCAGGGCACTGGCTTAGCGTCTCTGAGGCGCCTGCTCACTGCACATCAACGTATCATAACAACATCTTGAGCAGGAAGGGTACAGGGAAGGGGAGAGGGGACGCCTTACTTAATGCAACTCTGTCTTCTATTAAGGAAGACGGTTTCCCCAGAACCCCCCGGTAGGTAGACTTCCCTTATGTCTTTTAGTTTTCTTTTTTTGTTGTTGTTAATCCTCACCCGAGGATATTTTTCCATTGATTTTTAGGGAGAGTGGAAAAGAGAGGGAAAGACAGAGAGAAACATCGATGTGAGAGAAACACAGGGATTGGTTGCCTCCTGCATGTGCCCGGACCAGGGCTGGGGCCAGGGAGGAGCCTGCAACCTAGGAACATGCCCTTGACTAGAATTGAACCCGGGACCCTTTGGTCCGCAGGCAGACGATCTGTCCACTGAGCCCAACTGGCTAGGGCCACTTCCCTGTGTCTGATTAGCCAGATGGGACTGGGCGTCCTCCCGAAGGCAGTCCCTGACAGAGAGAACGGATCAGAACTCATGGCTGCCTGCCTGCCCAGGACCCGAGCAGACCTGGGCGTGTCTGAGTCAGGATGGAGATACAGGGGCTGAGCACCTACTCAGCGATAGTCTTTCACACCAGATCTCTCATTTTGCAGTTTTGTGAGTACATCTTGCCTCTTTCGTTCAAGGGACCGTCCCCTTTCACGTCTGTGATTAACCACATGCAGAGTTTCTGATTGAGTCGACCAGCACGCGACCGTGACCTTGGACCCAGATCTGCCCAACTCATTCTGGAATTTGCCATTCTTGTCAGCCGGACATCAGACCTGTTCCCACGCCAGCGGCCCCAACGTCAGTTTCCTTCTGGGCTCCCCGGGGAGAGGTCAGGACAGAGATTCAGGCGGCCGAGCGCCCACCTCCTGCCCTTGCCAGGGGGCCCAGGCAGAATGCCGGCTGAGGACAGGTGGGAAGAACACCTGTCCGGGAATAGGACCACAGCAGGCAGCCGCTTCCCCTCAGCCTCGCGCCTGCTGTGTAGCCTTGGTGCTTCTGCCTCACCAAAGAAATGACTAGTAAGTTCTCAGTGGTACCCGGTAGTTACAATTTACTGAGCAGTTACTCTGTCAGTAAGGTGGCCTGGTAAGCACCTTTTTCCTATGATCTCATCACAGATCTGCCCTATCAGGCCCTTTCTGTGTTTTGGTTAAAGCACCGGCTCCAATCAGACCTCCCATAGAATCCCTGTACGGAAATGTATTGGCTGGGTGGCCTTGGGCCAGTTACCGCACCTTGCTGTGTGCCTTAGCTTTCTCGTTTGTTTGTGGAGAATAATACCAGCGTGTTGCAAATACTTGATGCGTTAACAAACAATAACTGCTGAGGGTAACACTGGCTTCGAGTGCACACGTAGTTCACGCCTGATAAATGTTACCTGTTGTTTTTGCCATTTTTTAAAAATGAAGAGCCCGGCCAGTGTGGCTCAGTGGTTGAGTGTCGACCCACGAACAAGAGGTCCCCGGTTCGATTCCCGGTCAGGGCACGTGCCAGGGTTGCAGGCTTGATCCCCAGTGGGGGACGTGCAGGAGGCCACCGATCAGTGATTCTCTCTCATCACTGATGTTTCTATCCCTCTCCCTTCCTCTCTGAAATAAATAAAAAATATATACAAAAAAAATAAACTTTACAATGAAGAAATCAGAGGCTCAGAGAGATCAGCTTACCAAACATCAGGCAGCT